CCCGCCGGCCCCGCGCCCGGAGCTGCCTGGCGCGAAGGGGCCCTGGCCCTAAAGGGGCCCCGTCCCTAAGGCCTGGCCGGAGGATCTCCATTCCCGAGGATCCCTGGCCCTAAAGGGGCCCCGTCCCTAAGGCCTGGCCGGAGGATCTCCATTCCCGAGGATCCCTGTCCCAAAGGTCCCCTGTCACCCAGGATCCCCTTCCTGACAGGTCTGTGCCTCCAAGGATCCCTGTCCCGGAGGATTCCTGCTGCTAAAGATCACAGTCTCTGAGGATCCCTGTCCCAAAGGGTCACTATCCCTAAGGAGCTGTGTTCCTCGTGGTCTCCGTTCCTTAGTTTCCCTGTTCCCGAGGTTCCCCCATCCCCAAGTTTCCCTATCCCCAAGGATCCTGATCCCTAAGGGTTTCTATCCCCAAAGATCCCTTCCCCCCAGCAAACCCGTCCCCCCCAAATCCTCATCCTGGGGATCTCTGCTTCTAAGGAAGCGGCACCATCCCCAAGGATCCCCTTTCCCCAGGGATCCACATGCCAACCACCCCTGTCCCCACACCCCTTATCCCAAGGAATGCCCATCCACGCAATGCAAACAGCTCCCGGGGAGACAGGGCCGCTCCAGCTCCCTGCACGGACTCCCTGGTTGAGGCTGCAGCCATCCGAGGGCTGAGCGGGGCCGCGGGGCCGCAGCCTCCATGGCACGAACGGGCACCCGCGGCACCGGGGGACAAGGACACGGCAGCTCCCGCACCCGCCAAGCACCCGGCAGAGAGACCGCCACGGCATTCGTTAGATAATGACTTTAACGGCCCTGCGCTTTGGACAGCGCACGGGAATGCATGGGAACAGAGGGATCGCGCCGGGTTATCGCTGGAGCCCAGGCAGCCGAAGCAGATTAAGCGCATTCCCACAAAATGCCTAATCTCCAAAGGCCGATTTATTCAAAACAAGGCAGCTGGAGCAGCATCTCCGCCCAGGAAAGGGCCCGCGGGCAGCACAGGGGCCAGGGAACGGACGAGGTCTTTGCCGCCCATGCAAAGCTCTCAGCCTGGTGTTTGCATCAAAGAGATTTAATTTGAACTAAATTCAGACTCCCCTGCTAAATTATTAATAGCTCGGCAGCCTGGGGAGGGATCCTGGAGCAGCGCGGGAGGGTTTCCAGGCCTCGGAGTAACGTTTTCCGTTGGGAGGTGAAGAGGAGGGGGTGATTTCTTGCATTTCTCTCTTATTTGCCTATACTGGGCAAGGTGTCAAGTCCTTCTGGCCTGAAAGGTCTGGAATGGTTTTAGGCATTTATTTATTTTATTTTATTTTATTTTATTTTATTTTATTTTATTTTATTTTATTTTATTTTATTATTTGCTTTGCTTTGCTCTGCTTTATTTTCCTTCCGCCCGCGCCGGTGCAGGACGAGCCCTTGGCACCCTGTCAGCGCCAGCCCTGCTCTCCGATGCTCTCACACCTGCACAGCGGGACGCGCCGGAGGAGCGGAGCCCGCGGCCCCCCCGAGCCGCCCCCGCAGCTCAGCCTGCTCCCGGCTCCCCTAACGATGCTTTACGTAACGAGGGGGCCGGCGGCAGCGCCTGCCAAGGACACGCTGTCCTCGTGCCGCGTCCGCGCTCCCACGCGGGCACCCGCAGCCCCCACGCAGCACCGGGAGCCCCTTTGGCGACTGCTCCGTGGGGTTTCCGAGCAAAGGCAGCCTCTCCCAGGGACCCTTCCCAATCCAGCCTCTCCCAGGAACCCTTCCTGGCCTGCCCCTTCCCACAGCCCCTGATCCAGCCTCTGTAACCCTTTACAGACCGGCCTTCCTCAATAACCTTCTCCATTAACCTTTCCTATCACTGTCTTCCCCAGTAACTCTCCCCAGGAACCATTCCTTTCCCAGTGACTCCCCCCAGTACATCCCAGTATCCCCTCCCTGAGCAGCCACCCTGGTGACTGTCCCCAGCACATCCCATTAACCCTTCCCAGCCCAGTCACCCCAGCAACTCCAGGGCAGGGCAGAAGCACTCAGAGCCCCGGGGTCGTTAACGGTGGGTTGGGATGGTCCCATTCCCCTCCAGTGCTATGCCCGGTGCTGCTCCAGTGCCGGACACAGTGCTGGGAAAGGGGGCAATAGGATGGGGCGGTGACGTGGCCATGCTGCTCCCGATGTTCCCAGTGTCCAATCCTGGGGCAGTGCCATGTCCAGTGCCGTGCCAGGAGGGGCGGCAATGGAAGGGGATAGGACGGGATGGGATGGGCTGGAGATGGGGCCACGTTTGGTGCTGGTCCCAGTATTGTGCCAGGATTGTGCCTGGTGCCGGTGCCATGCCCGGTGCTGCTGCAAGCCGAGCGCAATGCCGGGAGGGGCAGCGATGGATGCGATGGGATGCGATGGGATGGGATAGGGTAAGATGCGATGGGATGCGATGGGATGGGATAGGGTAAGATGCGATGGGACAGGATGGGATGGATGGGATGGGATGGGATGGATGGGATGGGATGGGATGGGATGCGATGCGATGCGATGCGATGCGATAGGATGCGATGGGATGCGGTGGGATGCGGCGGTGACGGCAGCGGCCGTCACGGGGCGGCGATGTCTCCCGCGCCG